ATATTTGCTGCTTTCCAGTCTGATGGAACCTTTCCAGCACTTAACAAGTTTTGGAAAATTGACACAAACACATCAATGACCTCATTAACGACCACTTAGAAGACCCTTGGATGAAGTTCATCAGACCTGAGACTTAGCAACCTACAATTCCATTAATTTGCTCAGTATCATTTCCCTAGTGATTATTTCACCAAAATTCTTTTCCTTCAACCTTACTAGGATTTTCTTTAAATCTACAATGAAGATAAAAGCAAAATATTTATAATTCTTCATTGTATACTATTAACCCATGATTCTCAGGGGACCAACACATACTTTAGACATCTACAGAAAGTTGGGCAATCTGTTTTTATATTTCTAAATAGCTTCTTCATACTTCAATTTATTGGTCCTGATAAACCTTTTAGTAATTTTCTGCCATTCTTAGGCATCTGACTTGCACAATTGTTTTTTTCTGCTCCCCCCCACCCAGGTTTGACACTCTCCTTAAACCTACTCACGAAGCCACTTTTCTCTCTTTCAAAACAGATGTAAAATCATTTTATCCTCACTGCAACCTAGAGACGCCTTCACTCTGAGGTCATTAGTTAATCCCGTCACATTACCTGACAGCAAGTATAATAAACCTGCCTCACCCCCTTAATTACTTTAAAATCCTCTGTAGTTTTGTACTATGTGATTCGTAACATCAGTCCCAGTGTGGTTTGGGTGTAGACTGTCCCAACAGTACCGATCATGCTTTTCCTCATCCTGATGCCAGTGTCCCACTCCATTCCTTCTAGTTCCTATGTGTTTATCATTTCCCATATTAATCCTCTCTTTTGTCTTGACCCTTTGATTTACAATATCTTAAAACTGATCCCTTGCATCTACTAGTTCAAAGCCTTCTCTACTTCTGCAGTTATACGATTTCTATCATAATCATGAACCGATGCCTGCTTCTCCCATACCAGTCTTTGAGCTATCAATTCATATTTCCAATCTTACTCATTCAAAGCCAATTTGCATGTGGCTCAGGTGGGAACTCTTCAAAGAAAGTCTGACTTTGACTTAAGACTTGGGCAGTTTTGACTTGCTTATTTCAATGGCTAGCTTAGAAAGGTTTAACACAAAAATCCTCGTCCAGCTGAGCCACCCCATACCTCCTAAATCACCATTATAGCAAGATAATATTAATTACTTTAGTAAACTTGCCCTTATATATGCAGCTGACTGCTTAAATTTAAGACTCTCAAACTTAGCACTGCCGATCTTAAGTTTAACATAAAATTTCACCATATTACCTTTTCATGAGTATCCTTTACTTCAAGATTAATAATTAACCCAATTTGGAATAGTCCTACAAAAATGGAAGTCTTGCTTCAATCTATGTCACATTATTCGTAACATCAGTTTACATCAGTTGAAAGCCACTAATAGGTTTGACTTAACTTTGAAATGTAATAAGCACAGATCAATTAACTGATCCCTCAAAAGTGCTCTGATTAAGTAATGACTATCTTTCCGCCAGAGTGGGGGAATCAGGTTACCATTTTAGATACAGAAAGATTCACCCAAAGTTTCTGGGAAGCAATAACATCTGTGAAGCATCTGGAGATGCTTTACTCAATTAAAGGTGTTTTATAAATGCAAGTTAGGGGCTCTTGTGGTGCAGTGGTAGCATCTCTACTTCTGAGCCAGAAGGGTTCAATCTCAACTGCTCCGGAGGTGAATGCAAGTTGATTATTTTGCAGCTAACAGCATAAATTCTTCAAAAGTAAATTAATTTGGAACAGAATATTATCTATAATTTTACAGGTCTGTCTTTTCCAGCTGAAATGATTTATAACAACTGATTCATCTGTTGTATTTGATCATGAGGAAGTAGTGAAGTTGGGAGTTTTCTTTAACACTGAGGAAAATATCAAAGATGAGGATTGGAATTAGAGTGGCAGAAAAGACACCAGTTAAGTAATGGAATTGTTCAGCATTCTAACCTGCCACTACAAAAAAGGCCACTGGGTGGAAATTGATCGCTGCCTGTTTACAGTACTGAAACGGCTGGCAGGTTCCAAGAAGACATCAGAAGCTGACCCAAATTGGGACTTGGATCTTACCTTAAACACAGCAAGCTTCAGGAGGCAGCCAGCCAGTTACTGTAGGTTCAATATAGGCTAAATGCCTCCCTGACGATGACCCAGATATAATAACCGGGATGGACGCGGTCGATAGTTCCAGGAAAATGGGGTCATTGTACAGGATGGCATAAAATTACGTTTGAAAAGATTTATATACATTTTACTGCTAATATCTTAAGGATTGCTGGTTGGGTTACATTAGATACAAAGAAGCATGTCAGCAAAGGGCTGATACTTACTCCTCTCCAATTAATCAATAGGCTATATGAACTCTTAAATACATTAATGAAGGTGCCCAGCATCTGTTGTAGCAACCACCAGGAACACCTGAATATCACTTGATCCAATATAGGGATGATGTTATAGAGCACAGGACATGGCATACCAAAATTGGTTCATTTCAGTTGTTTCCTTGCAAAGCCACAATGTGATCTTAGATCTCTTTGTACAATTAGTAATAAATGCAGGCCGACATTAAAGTATATTTTTGCTATTTTGCACTTCAGACTCTACTGCAATAACTACATGCTATAAGTTTGATAATGTATTGTTTAATTGAGGTTGTGTTGACAGTACTGAGTTATTGTAACCATTTAATAATCAATCCATATAATAGCAATAATCATTACAAAATTTAAAAACATCTGCCGGTGGCATATTAAGCTTTGTGTCACATCTTTTAGGGTTTTTGCCAAGTGTGGTGAGAGATTTTTTTTAAAAAAAGAGTAGTGTTATATTCTCAGTCACTGGCTGTGAAAATGTCTTTCAAGAAAGTCATGGGAACAGGATTAGCTCCTCCACAGCTCCTAAACCCTCACTATAAAGAAAACATTCTGTTTTCTCTTCCTTGAATCCAGAGAATTCTGAATAAATCAATTTCCATGCATTGAACTCTTACTCATTATTATTTGGCCAATTCTGTTAACTGTATGTCTCTTGAAACTTCCTATTTCTAACTACTGCCTGTGTCCTATAGCTTAGCTTTATCTGTACACTTGTTGAGCCCAGGCCCATTAGATTCCTAAGAAACACCATATATCTGACCAGATAGGTTAAGATACACCTTGCTACATCGACTCAATTCCCTGTGGTTTAGTAGTGGCTCAGTGGTTGGGACTGCTGCCTCACAGTGCCAGGACCCGGGTTTGATTCCATCCTTGGGCGACTGTCTGTGTGGAGTTTGCGTATTCTCCCCATGTCTGCGTGGGTTTCCTCCGGGTGCTCCAGTTGCCTCCCAAAGTCCAAAGATGTGCAGGCTACGTGGATTGGCCATGCTAAGTTGCCCATTGTGTTCAGGGATGTTTAGGTTAGGGGGGATGGGTCTGGGTGGGATGTTCTAAGTGTCGGTGTGGACTTGTTGGGCCGAAGTTCCACACTGTAGGGATTCTATGATCTATGAACAAGCTAAACAGATCACGTATTAAACAGACTTAAATCCTAATTCTGTCTTTTCAACTCAACTATTCCTACATAAATATTTCATGAAATTGTTCTTGAGCTGTTTTGATTAGATACACCGTTTCTTTACACATTAAAATTCTCATTAAATGAAATTTAGCTTCCAAAATCTACACTTTATTGGAGTAGACTTTACAGCAGATCTTACTATTTTTAGTGTTGTTAATTTTATTCATCAATTTTTCATAACAGCAAAATATTCACATTCCGGACAAAATAAATTTGCTTAACCAAAAGTAAGACATTTTAGAAATGACTTAAAATGCACACAAGATACTAAATACTAGAATACTAATTAGGGATATTAATTCTTGGGAAATAAAAATAAAAAATATACATTTGCATTATACAATGACTCAAAAATATTTTACAAGAATTTACTGAAGGATTCAATTTTTTAAGCAGAGTGAAAAAGTTGCATCGGGTATGACCAACAGATTAAAGCAGTGTTTGTTTCAGTTCTCATCTCATCAAATTCACCAAGCATTTATTATCACTTTTATGCTCTCTGTCATCTTTTTGCAGACGTTGCTGTTGGTGCAGCATATAGGATGTACAACAACTCGCCAAAAACTACTTCAGCAGCACATCGAGAACCTGTAACTTCCAACATCTAGTGGAAGATGCATTGAAACACTATCACCATCAAGTTGTGCTCTATCTCGAGTTGGACACACACATTGCTTATCCTTCATGGTTGCTGTTAGTTTGGGAATTCCAACAATGTAGAAACTTCGGAACTACACAAACTGTAGCACTTCAGTAAGTTGGCCCAGCACCATCTCAGTTAAATCACTCTCCAAATTTCCCTTTCCCATCTCAAGAAGGCATGGAATGTGTCAGAAATATCTTCCTGCATTTTCTTTAGGAAGTTAGATACCTTATCCTACTTCCCTATTCTCGCATCAGCTTTGTTTAAAAAAAAGTTGATTTATTCAAGGAAATCACACTTGGTTTCAGTAAACAAAGGATTTAATTTTTTGCAAGTTTTACAAGCTAGCAGTTCTTTTCATAATTAACAATTTATTTTATAATATTCAAACATAGTAAATAGCAACTCTATCTTATGTGCATGCTGTATAACTCTTTGCTATGCAGCTATCATAGGGCATTTTAAAATATACTGTCAGAAAAAGGAAACAGACAGGTGCTTACCATTTGGAAAAGCCATCAAAGCACCATGGTATTGATTTATCTCCAAGTACTGAATACATATGACATAACAGTGTGAATGCAGCTTCAAAGAGAAAAGTACCCAAACTGAACACCATCAGGAAGGAATTCACCGGTATATAAGATTGGTTCATTGATTTACTTTTCATTCAAATAATAAAATTTAGATTGATTGAAGAAAATGAGGACGTAATGGTCACTAATGTAATGAAACTGCTTCAAAATCTAAATTTAAGAAAATATACAATATGAAGGCAGACCAATATTCAAACCAATTCAAGTGTTTGACATCTTGGTTTAAAATTATGTAAATATTTTAGATATTGGCTAGCATGTTCAAAAATGTTTTACAACTATTTTTAGAACAATATATCACAAATAGTTAATCCTTCAGGTGCTTCAAACTGTAACTTTGGGTTCAGGAATAAAAAGTCTTATTCAGTTCTTGCTCTAATATTTAGTGTCTCACCATAAACAACAACATTGGTCTGGTAATAAGCATTTCCCGTGGCAGATAGCTGTAGTTTCAGCCAATTCACTGCAGATGTTGGAGGCACACTGATGGTTTTTTCAAAAAAAAAAGTTGCAGATTTAAAAGGAGTTTTAGTAAGAGGGAAACATATGGAAAATGATCAAGGAAAGGCAAAAAAAGACAAAAATAGAAAAGTCAAATGGAGCACGAGTGCTTCCATTGTTCTCAACTAGAGGAACATCATTCATTTTCTTCACAGCTTGTGGCGAGTGGCTTCCACTAAAGACATTCTGGATTTAAATCGGAAACGTTTGTGTTTTCTCTCCAGTTAATCAAGTTACTACATTTTAAATCTGCCTGATTTCACCAAAAAATAATCAATACTTTCCTCATGGATATCAATACTGCAGTTTTCTTGTTCTAAACTCACCATAAGTTTTATGCAAATGATCCCAAAATTCCAATCAACAAAAATAGAAGAACTGCAGTTTGTGACTAGCAGATAAATTATAATTGACAAATTAAGAGCATTTCAATAATTTCAGGCACCCCTGTGCCATAACTCCACTCCACTTCCATTACTGCTTCAACCATGGCATTCTTCACTTGAAATGAGTACTTCCAAGAGATAGATAATGCAGTGCAAAGCCTCTGAATTCAAGGTCCAGTCTCGTAAGAGATTTTTTGTTGCTGAATTCCCATCTTCAAATCACAAGCAGCAGATATTGTAATTCTTCATCCATTCATCTGGTAACACTCTTAAGATAAACCTTATATCTCAACAGATATGGAGGAGATGGAAGAGATATCAAGCTTCTTTTGAACTGTGTTCTGACGGTTTATTTAATTCAACTTTTACTCCCTTTTCACCTGTAGCCACAATGAAGTAAAATTTGAAACAATTAATATTTGTACCACAGGGTTGTATGTTCAAAAATACACAAACAATATTAGGATTTAAATATATTCTCTTTGTTGGATCTACTAGTGCCACAAGACCCACTTCCTTATTCAGACAGAAGCAGACAGCAACCTCTGTCTCGCAGAACTGTTCGGTGATTAGCTGGAACAGAAACAAACCCACATCTCTTCTAAACATAGAAGTTTATTTTAACCTACAAATTGCCCCAACAAGTAACCCATCTAAAACCATACCCTTTTCACTAAATGATAAGATTTTCCAACAATTGGCAACAGTTTCATGGTCATCATTACACTCTTAATGCTACATTTGTTATTGAATTCAAATTCCACCATCTACCAGAATATTAGCGAGGTCTCTGGATTACACGTCTAGAGATAATTCCACAAGGCCATCGCCTCACTTAAAGGGCAGTACTTAGGCTACAGACAAAAAGAATCAAACAAAGAGAGATCAAGAATCCCTGACATCAGATATTTTCTGTAGTCAAAGAATCATTGCTTGTGAGCGATGAGCAATGCTTGGCAAAACAACTTCTTTCATTCTCAGGATGACTGAACAAGCTGGCAAGAATAAGCACGGTTAGTAAGTTTGCAGATGACACCAAAATTGGTTGCATAGTAGACAGTGAAGAAGGTTATCTAAGATTACAAAGGGATCTTGATCAGTTGGGGCAATGGGCTGAGCAGTGGCAGTTAGAATTTAGTTTAGATAAACACAAGATATTGCAGTTTGGTAAAACAAACAAGGGTGGGCCTTATACAATTAATGGTAGATCCCTGGAGAGTGTTGTCAAACAGAGAGACAGACGGGTTAGGTACATACTTCTTTGAAAATTGCGTCACAGGTCGACAGAGTGGTAAAGAAGGCATTTAGCATGCTTGCCTTCATTGCTCAGACCACTGAATACAGGAGTTGGGTTGTCATGTTGCGGTTGTACAGGACCTTGGTGAGGATACTTTTGAAGTATTGTGTACCCTTTCCATCACCCTGCTACAGGAACAATATTATTAAATTGGAGAGGATTTAGAAAAGATTTACAAGGATGTTGCCAGGACTGGAATGTTTGAGTTATATGGAGAGGCTTTTTTCATTGGAGCATAGGAGGTTGAAGGGTGACTTTATAGAGGTTTATAAAATCATGAGGGACATAGATAAGGTGAATAGCAGAGGTAATCTCCCTAGGATGGGGAGTTCAAAACTAGAAGACATTTTTTAAGGTGAGAGGAGAACAATTTAAAGAGGGTTCTGAGGTGCAACTTTTTCACACAGAGGGTGATTTGTATGTGGAGTGAACTGCCAGAGGAAGTGGTAGATCCAGGTATACAATTAGAACATTTAAGAGACATTCGGATAGGTACATGAATAGGAAAGGCTCAGAGGAACGGGAATTAAACGCAGGCAAGTAGGACTAGTTTTCAGCATGGACAAATTGGACTAATGGGTCTATTTCCATACTGAATGACCCTGTGACTCTGATTTATTTCTTTAATTGAACTTCCACAATGCTGTATGTTTGTTTCATAGAACTTACTCTCTTATGTTTTAGTTTTATGTTAACAAAACGCAATGGAAAAAGAAACAAAGCAGATATATAGTTAACAGAGAAATGGACTGTTCCGCGTGTACAGATAGAAATGCATTTAACCAATTTGATAACCTGCAGCAGAACCCCAGTTTTAATAATATCTTGCATTAATTAAGCTCACAGATAAGAAAAGAAGCTGTTTAGTGAATATGGCATGTTTGTAAGTAATGATGTAGATTTCGAAGACAAATAATGGACAAGGATATTAAAGCATGATTGCACTGTTGGTGGAAGGGATGTTCACTTAAGAAGTTGAAGCTACCAGAATCTCCATTGGAATATTGGCGGCACAGTGGCTCAGTGGTTAACAGTGCTAACAGCACCAGGGACCCGGCTTTGATACCAGCCTTGGGTGACTGTCTGTGAGTTTGCACACAGACAGTCTGCTTCCACACTGTAGGGATTCTTAAATAAAAAAGTTGAGATTGCACTGAGATATTAAGTTTGCTAAATGTTATGACTTACAATTAAATGTGTCAGATTCAATGTAACAGGAAGGCTTCCCTACTGGTGTCGTGTTATTCTGGCACCTTCCAAATACAGAAAGAATTCATGAAAGCATTGCATAAGATCAGCAACTGATGTGCCCTGAAGATTCTTGGTTCATTTTTTGGGTACATTGCAATTATAACTTTTTAAATAATTTGTTCATGGGGTACGGGCATCATCGGCTAGTATTTATGGTGTGTTCTCAAATGCCCTTGAAATATGGGAAAGTGGAAATACTGCCTGCAACACTAATTGGAATCCATTCACAAGCATAATCTGAAGAAAACAGATGCCAACAATACTGAGTTTTAAAACTCAAACTGTTGTGGTTGGTTGGCTTGCCGAGCTGGTTCATTGTTTTGCAGACATTTTGATGCCATGCTAGGTAACATCTTCAGAGCAGCCTCCGATGAAGCGCCGTTGTGTTTTCCCGCCCGTTATTTAAACTCTAGAGTCCATTGAGCTGGATTACCTCACTTCTGGTTTTCCTTCTCAATGGGGTTGAGCTCTATGTGCTTGTTGACGGCTTTCTTCGTGGAGTACCAGGCTTCAAGGAATTCCCATGCTTGTCTCTGCTTTGCTTGTCCCAGTCGAATTGGTGGTTCTCCTTATCCATGCGGATAGAGATGAGTGAGTATTGGTCATGCCTTTTTGTAGCCAATTGATGTTCATGTACCCTTGTTGTTAAATTCCTTCCTGTTTGACCAATGTAGTGTTTGTCACAGTCTCTGCTGGGAATCTTGTAGATGACATTGGTCCTGTCCATAGTGGGTAGTGGGTCTTTGATTGGGGTGAGCAGTTATCATAGGGTTGATGTGGGTTCGTGTGTTACTCTGATGCCCAGTGGTCATAGGAGTCTTATGGTCGGTTCAGATGTGTTCCTGACGTAAGGTAGCGTGATGAGGGTGTTGGGTCGTGTAGTATTTTCCTGGTGTTGTTCGTGTAATAGGCATCTGCTGACCCAGTTTTTCGGGTATCCATTGTCTTTGAATACCTGGAAGAGGTACTCTTCTTTTTTTGGCGTAGCTCTGTGCTGCTGCAGTGAGTTGTTGCCTGTTTAAATAATGTTCTCAGGCAACTTCGTTTGTGTGGTAGGGTGGTTGCAAAAAGAAGAGGAGTACCTCTTCCAGGTATTCTGTGATTGCTGTATTCACTGGACATAGGGACTGGATGAGAGCCAATGTCCATCATTCTTCAATTCAGCGAAACAACCACCATCATGGCTCAATGTTTCTGCCCTAGTCTTATCATAAAATGTCCATACAGACAAAATCTGCTGCCTTCTCCTCAATGTTTTCTGTTGCTTCAAAAAAATTCAATTTGGTTTAGTCAAGCATGATCTGCCTTATATAAATTCAGGCTGACTCTACATAATTAACTCAAACCTTTCAAAGTATTTGATGATTTTGTTCCCCCAATTAAGAATTCTAAAATCTTGTCCATGACTCATACCAAACCAACTGTCCTTTATTTGCAAGGATTGTCCTTACGACCTTTTGTGACAAATGGTGTCACACTCTTGTCACTCTCCAATCCTTTAGCACCTACTCCATACCTAGCTAAGATTGAAAAATTCAGACATGACCTTCTGCTTTCTGTTACCCACACACTTGCTTTAGGAATCCGGAATGCAAGCCATCCAGGCTAGGAGACATATCTACCTTAGGCACAGCCAGCCTTTCCAGTAGCTCCCTTTCAATTTCCAATCGTTTGCTTCCACCAACGTTTTGTAACATTTCTCTTCCTAAATTGAATACTCTATCAGTTTCTACTAAATATTCTAGCTTGATTTTGCACCCCTCGTCAATTATTATTCATTAGGGAGATGATGGCTAGCAGTATTAGTGGGGACCCAAGTTCGAATCCTGCCATTCAGTAAAATATTTGGGATTAGGAGTCTAATGGTGACCATGAAACTATTATCGATTATCGTGACACTGGTTCACTAATGTCCTTTAGGGAAGGAAACTGCTGTTCTTACCTGGTCTGGCCTACATGTGACTCCAGACCTACAGCAATGTGATTGACACTTGACAGCGCTCTGGGCAATAAGATTGGGTAATAAATGCTGACCTGACCAATGATGCCCACATCCCATGAATGAACTGAAAAAAATACATTTTTGTTTGTAGTAATAGGACGACTCTGTCCACGACTATTGCCTACTATCTATAAATTCTTTATCACTACCTTAAAACGGAAATCTCTTAAACTATGACCTCACAAAAGAAAAATTTCTTCCAGGTATTCACCCTATCCAGGCCCCTCAAGATCTTATTTAATACAGTAAGACTACCTTGCAGTCTTCCAACTTCCAATGAATATAGGTTTAACTTGTTCAACATTTCTTCATAAAATAAGCTCCTTGTTTGAGGAATCATTATTCAATGTTCACATCAACCAAGCAGCCTTACTTCTGGCTTGCTTATCTTTTACCTTGCTGGAAGAAATAATGGAACCATCCCTTACTTGAAGGCAACTTATTTCTATGTTACAAGTTTTCCTGTCAGTCTCATTCTCGAAACTTCAGAACTCAGTCTCATGCCATCTATCTTTCCTTTTGCAATCTACATTGGCACAATCTAGCTTGGCATCACAATTATTATTTCTTTATCTATTTTGTTTCCATCCGTTCTGTACTTTTAAAAAAAAATCAACGAAATACATATCAGATATGGGAGGACTATGATAACAGTGAATGTTCATATCTACTGTCACGTTGTTTAACAAATCAAACAAGCAGCTACTTAAAAATATTTGAGTAATTATTTGAGAGAGAAATGCAAGCAATATATTAATGGGCATTAATTATTACAATTCAAAAATGGTTAGAAAAATATTTAAAAATTCAAAGTTGAAAGTATAACCTTAATAGCATCGAGAAATGAGGCCTCTTTACCTGTTGAATATTTGTCTTTAGCTCGAGTTCGCTCATCCGCATCAAAATACCAGACTGTTATAGCGTACCTAAAGTTTAATATAGAAGTAGTTAATGCATTTTTATATATTCCCAGTAGGGACTGTTCAAAGTAAAATGAAGCTTTTGCTGTGTATCATTCATCATGTACAGCACGACGACTGCTGAATAATATAGTTCATCAAGTTGTGTTACGAAGGTCTATATTTAGAGGAAACATAGCCATTCTTGATCTCTGGAAGAGGATGGATTGATAAATATGGCTAGATGTTTCATGAAGCAATGCTATGAAGCCATATTAAATCTTTGAACTGGATAGGCGGCATGGTGGCACAGTGGTTAGCACTGCTACCTCACAGTGCCAGGGACCTGGGTTCAATTCCACCCTTGGGCGACTGTCTGTGTGGAGTTTGCACATCCTCCCCATGTCTGCGTGGGTTTCCTCCGGGTGCTCCGGTTCCCTCCCACAGTCCAAAGATGTGCAGGTTAGGTGGATTGGCCATGCTAAATTGCTCGTAGTGTTCAGGGAGGTGTAGATTAGGGGGATGGATCTGGGTGGGATAGTCTGAGGTTCGGTGAGGACTCGTTGGGGCTAACGGCCTGTTTCCACACTGTAGGGATTCTACGAGGTAATTTCTTGCAGTTGGCCATAATATTTGGTGTCATGAATTTTTACAGTGTAGCATTGTTTTCAATGAAAATATTTGGCTTCACAGTAAATTTATTTGAACATTAAAATTTATACTTAAGGCATGCATTTCCGGTTTGCCAATTTATTTTTGGATTTTTGGTCATGTTTCTCTATCAAAGTTTACCAAGGCTCGCCCTCAGTTTAGAGTCTTATCAGAAAAATATATGGTTCAGATAGTGCATATTTTGTATGCAATGCAAAGGGTGATCTATACCGTTCTACATTACCATTGTGATTATTGGCCAGTTAACTCAGTGACTGGGTGGCTGGTTTGTGACTCAAAGTGATGCCAACAGCATAGATTAAATTCCCATACCAGCTGAGGTTACCATGACAGACTCTTCCACTCAACTTCTCCCTTGCCTGGGTGTGGTGACCCTCAGGTTAACCATCATCAGTCATCTCTCTCTCTCTAGTGAGAAAGCAGCTCTATGCAATTTCACTTTTTAGTGATTATGGCTATAAAGTAATTTAGGACAATCAGATCATAAAAAGTACTTAATAAATCTTTTTTAATTTATCTAATATAGATACCAATTACTGAAACACAAATCATTTAAGATCCGCCAGCATGTTGATGAAGTAGTATAGACCCTAAATAAGATAACATTTTTAAAATTATTTATTCTTTCCTGGGATATGGGAGTTGCTGGTTAGACTTGCATTTTTGTTGCCCTTTCCTATTTGCTCCAGACAATGTAGTGGTGAGCTGCTTCTTGAACCATGACAGCCCACATACTGCAGATCAGGAATTCCAGGAATTTTACTTTTGCTGCTTGTCCCCAAACCTATGTATCAATATTAAGGATATATGCAGAAATTAAGTTTCACTGGTCCAAATTACATTTTTTTTAAAACTAAGGAACTGGTTTCTCCCAAAACACATTCCTAAAAAGAAGGAAAAAACAGTCTGAATTGTGGTTTCATTGAAGAGAGGGGTACTTAATACGCAGAGAATGGAGGAACCTTTAACACTAAAAATAAAAAGCCAGCTTGAAGGATCTTGTGATTGGAAACTGAGCTCAGACATTGATGAATATTTTGAGTAATGCTAAGTGAAAAATATTCTTGTGTAGCCCAGAATCACAAACTTTACAACCTAGCAACGTGTTCAGTGGATAGTGAAAATACAATAGTTACTTTAGCAGACAAAAAGGGTGTTTGTTCAAATGTGCACTACACAGTCATTTTGGAGAAAAATCTTCACAATGAAAATACCCCCTATTATGTTGTGTGATAATTACCACCATCCTAAATGGGATAGATTTTGTACAGATTTGACAACTCAAGACAGGATATTCAAAAACCACTACGGGCCATCAGCATCTGCAAGATTCTAATTGACCATAATCTGTATTTCATGGCCACGTTTATTATCCATTTTAACATTATCAATGTGTTGGAAGGACCAATGCTTATTCAAAGAAGAATGCAGGATGGCATGAGATAGAAAAACTGCAAACACCTAAAAATGAGGAGTCAACATAGTAAAATTACAACACAGGGCTACTTGCATGCCAAGCAGTGAAGAAGAATGTGATAGACAAAGTCCACAAGCAATAGATTAAATTTAAACTATTCAGTGTTAACACATCCAGTCATAAAATGTGGTAGGTTATTGGACAACTAACTGGAGGAGGTAGTCCCATAAATATTAGAATGGGGAGCCCACAGTGAGTCTAAAGCATTTGCATCCATGTTCAGTGAGAAGATAGCTCCTCCTGAGAGTTGATGCACCACAGATGTCAGTTTTTAGCCATTCAGTTCAATTCACTCCACTGACATTAAGAAGCAGCTGAAAGCGTTAGACATGCAAAGGCTACAAGAATATGATAAAAGGCCCTGACAACATTCAAACAACAGAATGAAAGACTTGTGCTCCAGAAGTAGCCGTGCCCCAGTCAAGCTGTTCCAGGACAGCTACAACACTGGAATATACACAATAATTTTGAAAATTACCACCCAACCGGTTCATTCTCAACTGATCAGCAAAGTGATGGAAGGAGCTGTTGACAGTGCTTCAAGCAACACGTGCTCAGTAATAACTACTCACTGACAATTTTTTGGGTTTCCACCAGAGTCACTCAGCTCCTAACCTCATTTTAGTATTTGGTCCAAAAATGGACAAAAGAACGGACCTCTAGAGGGGAGGTAAGTGGGGCTATTCTTGACATTAAGGCAGCATTTGACATTGTGTGGGATCAGAAGACCTAGCAAATCAAGATTCAATGTAAAGCACAGAAAAATCTCAACTGGTTGTTGGAAAGAAAGATGGTTGTGGTTGTTGGAGGTCAGTCATGTCAGTTCAGGACATCTCTGCAGGAGTTTCTCAGAGAACCTAAGCCTAACTATCTTTAGCTGCTTCAAAGGCCTTCCCTCCATCATAAGGTTAAGTGGGAAAGTTCACTGATAATTGCACAATATTTGACATCATTTGCATCTCCTCAGATTCTGAAGCATCTGGTGTCCATATGCAGCAAGACTTGGATAACATCCAGGCTTGGGCTGACAATGTTAAATAACATACACACCAGACAAATGCCAGAACATGACCATCTCCAGTAAGAGAAAATCCAACCATCACCCCTGGACATTCGATGGCATTCCCACTATTGACACCCTACTTTCAACTCCTTCATTGCTTAAATGATGGTATTATCACAATCGAGAGATGTCCTAAATTCAGGAAACCAAGATGTAGAAGTGGCTTGCAAAACAATGAGAAATTAGAGGCGGAACGGTGGCTCAGTGGTTAGCACTACTGCCTCACAGTGCTAGGGACCCGGGTTTGATTCCACCCTTGGGCGACTGTCTGTGTGGAGTTTGCACATCCTTCCCGTGTCTGCGTGGGTTTCGTCCGGGTACTGCGGTTTCCTCCCACAGTCCAAAGATGTGCAGGTTAGGTGTATTGGCCATGCTAAATTGCCTGTAGTGTTCAGGGGTGTGTAGCTTAGGGGGATGGGTCTGGGTGGGATTCTCCAAGGCTCGGTGTGAACTTGTTGGGCCTAAGGGCCTGTTTCCACACTGTCGGGATTCTATGATTCTATGAAATTATAAAAGGCAAGGAGCCACTTATGAGAGTGGTGTACAGTACCAACTTAGTAGGATGAAGTGTAAAGGAAGAAATAATAGCAGCTTGTCAGAAAGGTACAGTGATAATCATGGGGAATTCTAATCCACATACAGACTGGAAAAATCATTTAGGAAAACATAACTAGTTTCTTAGAATTACACATTCTCAAGCTGAGCAGATAGCAGACTATTCTAGACCTGGCACTATGCAGTGACGTGGATTAATTAATGACCTCACAGTGAAAATGTCCCTGGGTGGCAACAACCATAATATAATTCAGTTTCAGTGAGACAGAAGTAGATCTACGTAGGGATGGTGATAGTTGGATGGGAATACCACCACCTGCAAGTTCCACCTCAAGCCACATTAGCTTGACTTGAAATTATATCACCATCCCTTCTCAGTTGCTGGGTCAAAATCCTCAGACTCTCTTCCTTACAGGACTGAAGCTGTCTCATACCAAGGACTGCAGCAATTCTAGAAGGCAACTCAGCACCACCTTCTCCAGGGCAAATATGGATGAACAAAGAATGCTGGCCAGTTTACATCCTTTAAACAAAATTACTTTTTCATATAAAAACACAATTTTAGAAAATTAAAACGAGAATAAAGTCCATCAGGACCCAAGCACTTGGCAGCCCGCACCTTCAACAATTTGCTTAGTACCATTTTCCTGGTAGTGATAATTTTCTTGTTCCTCCCTCTGCTCATTTGTCTTACAGCTGTTTCTTGGGAAATTACTTGAATTGAATTGCAAAGGTATTTTACATTGGTCTTCACTGTGGTGGATACATGTAATAAACACTGCTATTCTAATATTCTGGCAAATAGTAAATCTTACTGTAACTGATACAATGTTACAATTACTAGTAAATGACAAGAACTTTGAAGATGTATGAGCAAACTATTCACCAATCACTTCTCTGTTTTCCTGTGACACCACACCTTGATTTCTCTCTGAATATGGCTTTTCCATTTTGGGGGACAGCTTTTGTCAATGGTGCTGACTGCCCCAGGGTCCTCTGTTCACCAGCTCTTTACAAACTCCTGCTGGCTCTCAATCAGCTGAAATCTTGTGTTCAGTCATTCTATTCTTAACTAGGTACTCTGAAGAATTTCCTGAGAACAGATGTTGGCTTAACTGGTCTTTCCTCTCTTGCCTGTCTTAATAGCAGAGTGGAATGCAACTTTCTAATCCGAAAGAAGGGAGCTCCTGCGACCAAGATCAAAGTGGCCTGGATTAGAAATGTTGGGTTCAAGCCCCATGTGCCATTAAGTTGCGTCATAACATTACTGAACAAATTATTAAAAATTGTTCCAATCTAAAAGGAATGGTTCCCAAATTGAGAGAACTTTCCATCTCGTCTCAGAAAGAGTGAGGAAGGGCACCTGCAAAATTCTTAACTACTTCCTTTGAAATCCTGGTATGAAAAACATTTAATCTTTGAAATTTGCCACTCTTCATTGATACTATTTTGCTTGTATTAAAAATCTTGGCAAGACCCATCTCTGATTCAATATTAGTTTTCTTGGGATGTCTGGCATGCTATCCTTTTTCACCACAGAAAATGTTGATGCAAATGATAATTCAAATGTCTATCTCATTATTTTCATTGACAATGTCAGTGTTACCAGCTTTCAAGAGTCCCTATCGTTCAGGATAATCTTATATCATCCAATACAATTCTAAACATTTTTCATATTCATTTTCTTGTCCCTTTCAAGATTCTTTTCATACTTCCTCATTGCACCTTCTGTTAACTGCTTCATCATCCTTAGTTGTTCTCTGCATTCCATACATCCTTAAATCTACACTATTTTTCATGTTCTTTCCTTTAGCTAAAACAGTTTTTAAACTCTGCAACGTTTTCAGGCTCACTATTAAGTTGGAGACTTAGAGTTTCAAACTTTTTGTTAGAGGATTCCAGACAATTGGAAATTATCCATAAGTTTAAACCTCCCAGGCAATTACTGCATACATCAAAGAGGTCCTGAGGTACATCTTTCAAGGTATGTCCAAATTCCTACTATCTGGGCTGAGGAGTGGCAGATGGAGTTTAATTTAGATAAATGTGAGGTGCTGCATTTTGGAAACGCAAATCAAGGCAGGACTTATACACTTAATGGGGAATGTTGCTGAACAAAGATACCTTGGTGTACAGATTCTTTGCATGTGGAGTTGCAGGTAGATAGGATAGTGAAGAAGGCATATGGTATGCTTGCCTTTACTTGTCAGCACATTGAATATAGGAGTTGGGATTTCATGTTGCAGCTGTACAGTACTTTGGTTAGGCAATACTGCAATTCTGGTGTCCCTGCTATCGGAAGGATGTTGTGAAATTTGAAAGGATTCAGAAAAGATTTACAAGAATGTTGCCAGGATTGGAGGGTTTAAGCTACAGGGAGAGGCTGAGTAGGTTGGAGTGTCGGAGGCTGACGGGTGACCTTATAGAAGTTTATAAAATCATGAGGCGCACGCAAAGGGTAAATAGATAAGGTCTTGTCCACAGGGTGGGGGAGTCCAAAACTAGAGGGTGAGAGAAGAAAGATTTAAAAGGGAACTAAGAGGCAACTTTTTCACGCAGAGGGTAGTGTGTGTATGGAATGAGCTGCCAGAAGAAGTGGTATAATTACAACATTTAAAAGGTTATCTAGATGGATGTATGAATAGGAAGGGTTTAAATGGGATATGGGCCAAACTCTGGCAAATGGGACTAGATTTATTTATGATATCTGGTTGGGATGGATGAATTGAACCAAACGGTCTGTTTCTGTGCTTTATATCTCTACGACTCTACGTAGACCTGAAGATCTGGACCACTGTTCCAAAAAGTTCCCCTGAACTCACTAAGAAATTGACATTTTTTCCAGTATTTGCTTGTCTACTTCTTCCAATCTATTTAAAAATCAGAACTATACCTTTGGTACTTGGGTTTATCTAATCTCAGCATTCGTATATTCTACCATCTTGCAACTGCTACCAGGGACTAGTATACAATTCCCACTTCAATCTTAAACTTCCCTTTCTTTTCATTAATTCTACCCATACAGTCTTCATTATTGACTTGTTTATCATTAAACCTTTCCTCAGCATTGAAGTGATTTATTCTTTAAGTAAGGTCAGTATGTTAAATTTCAAATTGGCAAGAGTGGGAGGCAACAACAGCAAGTGACAATATTCAGAAGTAGGGGGTCAGCATCTTCTGATTTCTTGACAGAATGGCTGTTGTGTTCAGTCCAACAAAAGGGGATGCGTTGTTGTATCATGGAGATGAGGTGGGCCAAGGGGATCAAGCATCAGCTGGGGTTTAGGTGATAGTGACCATTGCATATGTATAAGGTTCAGGATGATGGTGGAGAATGACATGCAACAGTCTAGAGTAGGAATAGCTTGCTTCAATGGAACAAAGGGAGAGTTGGGCAGGATTTACTGGAACAAGAAGCTGGAGGGGAAAACAGAAACTGAACAATGGGCTACCTTCAAAGAGCAGACAGTTTGAGTACAGTTAAGGTACATTGTGTCAAGTGGGAAAAGGTAGGCCAAACAAATCCAGAGTCCCTTAATGTTGAATATTTTGCGAATTTCTAGAGGGGATTTTCCTTTAATCATATTTGCCACTGTTTTGCAAATTACATCAATAACTACCTTGATATCAAAGGTAGTTTGTAGCCGATATTAGTTCAAAGACAGTAACCTAGTCGACTTTCAGAAACTTGATCCCACACAGGTATGTCATCAATAAGGAAGAGGTAGAAACTAACATGAGAAAGGAAAAGCACTTATGACTGGAGTAAGGCAAGAAATACAATTGAGACCAAGAGAATATCGTAGGTTTAGAGGGGGCGTGAAAAAGCCATCAAGATAAATAAATATTTTTAAAAAAAGGGCGGTTAAAAGGAGGACTAGTACCAATTAGACAAACAAACAAAAGGGGATTTACACATGGAGACTCAGGTGTAAAATGTATTTTTCATATCTGTCTTTACAGAGGAGGAGGATGCAGCCCAAGCTATGGTGACAGAGGAGAAAATGCTTGTCACTAGAAGTGTTCTAAATTAGTAAGAAATCTTGGATAGACTGATGATACTCAAAGTTGACAAGACACCAGAACTTGATAAGATGCATCTAGGGTTTTTGAAGGAAATGAAAGTAGAAATTTCAGGGGCACTGGCCATAATCAGTCTTCCCTGGACTTGAGGGGAGCTGCCAGAGGATTGGAGAATTACAAAAATTAAGACATTGTTCAAGAAAGGTTGTAAGGATAATCTCAACAATTACAGACCAGTCGATTTAACTTTAGTGGTGAGGAAGCTTCTAGAAACAATTATTCTTGATAGAATTACTAGTCACCTGGGAAAAGATGAATTGATTAGGAAGAGTCAGCATAGATTTCTAAGGGGGAAATTATGTTTAACTAAGTTGTTGGAGTTTTAAAGCGGTAAGAGAACCTCACTCAGGATAAACTGTGTCATAAATGTATTTTCAGATGTTGATACAGTGCCACAGTATAGACTTGAGGAAAGTTATATGTAAAGCATACAGTGTCCTCAACTTTGATTAATAAAGACAGAGAGTACAAATGCAAGGAGGTGATGTTGAACTTGCAAAAAAAACTTGTTAGAACTCAGTTGAATTACTGAGTACAGTTGTGGGTGCCACATTATAAGAAAGATATGAATGCATGAAACAGAATGCAAAGGAATTCACAAGAATGGTTCCAGGTATGTGAAACTTCAGTTGTGAGGGTAGAATGAAGTAGCTAACTGTTCTCTTGGAGAGAAGGCTGAGAGGAAATCTGATAGACGTTTTCAAAATCATGAATGAGTTGAATAGAGTAGATAGGGAAAAGCTGTCCCCAATCAAAAAAGGAATGAGAACGAGAAGCCTCCTCCTATGCCATAACAATTCTGAGGTAAAAGTAACTATAACGCAAAATCACAAAGCAGAAACTATTCACAGGCAGTTGATAAACATGATATAGCAAATGGCCTACAGTAGCGTATCTTGTCTAATCAAAATGATTTTGAACATACAGCAGAATTTTCTCCATAATTTTACTCCAGCTGAATATGGAAATTTGATATCAAGCAAATGACCTAATATTAACTATATTTAGACCTTTTGGGAGGACCCAGCACGTTAACATCGTTAATGAACATTATCCATGTCATTTTTCTTCTGAGGACAACATCATGCTGGGGTAAACAGAGAAAGATGACAATGAAGGTGATCATATAATTTTAGCTCCCATTTCAATGAAAGCATTTCGTAGGATTACCTTGTGGCATAAGCAGGTTGCACTTCATGAGGATTACGTCGATCAGACCAGAAAAATAGCAGCCTGTCAAACTTTGGTTCAATATCAGCAAACTGTAATTTTCCTTCTGGAAAAATTCGAAGAAGACCTCCATTTACCTAGCCAAGAAAAGTAAATCTTTAGGGAAGAGATTTTTTAAGTTAACAGCAATTCAATTAATCTATTAGAAATTGATTATTTTTCACTTTTACAGGTTGGTAAAACTCAAAACTTCTCAGAATCAGTCAAGTAAAAATCACTCTCTGGCTGTTACTTCAGTATCACAATTATATGTTTCCATTCATCACAAGATCTAAAACCAACTACGAAGTCTAAACTTGTCCATTCACAGTAAGCCTCTAAGAAAAGATCAAGTGCTATGGGATCTAGATTATTATAAGATTTTTGCTTCTGCTCCTCTACTCAATACTCTAACAAAAAAAAAACAAAAACAGAATCTTGGTCTTTATTTTTATATTTTCAAATAGCAATGGAGAATGCTCTGTTTATCAGATGCAGAATAAGTAAGCAGTTGAAATCCTTGATTAGGAATCATTTAAGTAAACTACTTTTACAGTGATGAAATACTACTAACGTAATATTGTCATACAAAAACGTAATTGTTGATTGTCAGTTCTTAAATTAAATAGAAATTCCGAGAAAAGCTCAGCGGATTTGCCAGCATCTGTGGAGAGAAATCAGAGTTAACCTTTCAGGTTGAGTGACCCTTCCTCAGAATTGAGGACACAACCAAATGACATGCTTCTTCATTACCTGTGGTACTTTCATTTTCTATTTTTTCCTGAAACTTAAACCAGAGTCTCCTGGTCCAGAGGTGGGGTCCTCTGGTTCTGTTTTATTTTTTGCTTTTTTAAAAGTTTTTTTTTTAAAAAAATAGAGCCAAATAGTGCCCTTTACTTTCTTTATATAACCCATGGTTATATAAAATATAATTTTTATTTTCACTTATTGAGAGACAGAAACAAAAGACATCATTGTGAACAGACTTTATTAGATATATGTTTCCCAAAACCAGGAAAACATCCACATGACCAATTGCATACTGATAAGCAAAGTCTGTAAAGGGCAATGCTTATATGAAAAAAAAACTGGAGGGTAGGAAGAAAGGGAGGGGGACTAAATCAAAATGGAGTTGGGGGGGGGGGGAAATAAAGCACTCTATCTCCCCCCCTTCTTGCTCTAAAGGCTTCAAGAATATTGGTAGAAACTGACCGCTCCTCCTGCAATCACCCAGGCTCGAACATAGCCTTGGAGGACGGGTAGGCAGTTGGCAGAGATAATCCCCTCCATGGCCCACTGCCTGAAACCCCGCGTTTGTGGTCAGCCTGGCCAAGACCAGAAGCAGACCCACGAGGTGGTCTTCTGACCTGTCCACACCCCTCCGCATTGAGTGCCCAAAGATCAGGAGCATGGGGCTGAAGTACAACCAAAACACAACAAAACGTTTTTCAAATAACTGAAAAGTGAGTGAAAATGCCCACAACCAATATATATGGTCCATGGACTCTACATCGCTGCAAAACAAACAGTTGGGTTAGGAGTCCATGAACCACCACAACCTGCGGTTGTAAGGGAGTACTGTGTGCAACACCCTCCATCTCAGGTCCCTGATAGGAAGACTGAGGACTCCCGTGTAGATAGCCCTCCACTGGGGATCCCTGCCGCTCGGTGGCAAATAAGCACACATAGGCGTACCCAGATAATGTACAGTAGCAGCCTGTAGAAAAACCACCTCTTTGTAAGGTGAAAAGACATACAACACATATTCAGGAGGTAGCTCAGGCTCCCGAGAGGGCTTCAAGACCTTGGGGCTAATGTGAAATTCCATCCGAGCATATGTAGACTGGATTCCACTGCACACCCAAGCATTCTCCAACTGGTGTATGATGTCGGGTCTGAGCACCATCGCTCCAGTTACCTTTTTAAATTTTTTTATAAATTACCCCACACTACCACTGCACCCGAAGGGGGGCCCAGCAGTAGTGCTTATATTTTCTCCAAATCACCTGTGGTTATGTGTGTACATATGGTGACACAGTAAAAAGACTCCATTGTGAAAAAGCTTTATTCTATATTTTCCATCACCAGCAAAACCCCAATGCAGCTAGTAAAACATTCAGTTCTCTTTTTGTTATCTACCCAGTCAATTAAGCAATCAATCTCTTGCTTAACACCTTAGTACATATTAACAGATTGCCCACTTCTCTTTGAACAAAACCGGATTTAAATGTAACAAAAGTAACTTTGTTGCGATTGCCTCACGAAGTTATATACATTTTTCATAATCCATATCATACAAATAGCTTTCCATATTTCCTTTAGTTTGAACAGAAAATATATAAAATTTAGGATCACAAAGTCACTGAAATAAAAGTTTTTTTTAAGCTTTCTGTTTAATAATCTTCAAAGAAATGTTATCCGTAATTCTTCCACCAGTTTAGACTATTTTGCAAAATAGTCTGACAACTACTGACTTGGGTCAATTCACTTCATTTTGGAAATCCTCAACCTATTCTCAGTATCACCCTTTGTCAAATGTACAGTGTCCCAAAGAGAATGGTCATGAACATTTCATTCTGCGTGTAACTTTTCTCAAATTGCCCCTTGTATTTAGATTATTGGATAAATATACCCTGAACTTATACCTTTGACTAGTGCAATCTTTCAGCACCTCATGTGCTTTCAACTACCTTTTTTATTTTCTTGGCTTCCCAGGCCACCAGACAACATTGATTATGATTTCCATCAAAAATATAATATTTGAATAGCATCTGAAAGCATGCAAAGCATCACTGAAAAGGACTAGTTTCATATCTTCTGAAAGACATGGCAGGAAACCTGAATGTACATTTTTCAGAATTTAATTCCTTTGATGTTTTGTTTGCTCTGAAACTTTTGTCCACCAGCACATTTCAATGTAGTACTCTGTTCCAATACATCATAACTAGCTTTGCAAACAGTTGGAATGCACCAGTTTAACCATCCAATCAAATTTCTTAACAGATCTGTTTCTTCCATTGATCCAAAGTCATCTTTCCATGAAGACTAGGTCAACATATAGGGTCACGATTAATACTTTCCAAGTAAGACTGTTGTTAAGCTCAACTTCCAGTTTTAAATTCCCCTTTTATATATCACATACTGATAAAATTCCATAGAACGCCCTGACAGAAAATAACCCATATGCAACGTAAAGATGTCTGCCAGATTCCCTGTGCTACCACTATAAGAATGATGGATCTGCTTTAAGCTGAATGCAACCTACTTTCAGTAAGATGGACCTGAAAACTGAGAAAGACCATAATCTTATGCATCATTCAATCCATAAACACAGTTGTTTAATTTCCAAAGCCTCCCCTCCATATGGCCTGCTTCTTTAGGCGATTTCAAAAATACTTCCTTGGTGAATTTTTTTCACCCTGCAAAAAAAAATGCAGCTTTTATAGCAATTGACTTACACTGCTTACTAAATGAACTAAAGTGATCTTGAAGATTATTTTTCCTGCAGCAGGGAAATCAAGCCTATTTAACATCTTGATCACCAATTTTCTTATCAAAACCTCAGGCCACTATTCTCTCTTTAGCCTCTCATGCCCCAACAGAAGCACTTTTTCTGTGTATATACAGCTGCATCTGCTGGCTGCCACTATCAAGTACCTCTCTTTTTTATACCCAGAAATACAATCTCACACAACTGAATGGTGTTTTCCCCACCTACAAAAGCACCCATGTTACTTTCCACATATTTCCTAATTGGCTTGTTCACAAGATGTTATGACACATCTCTGTAGCACATAGGACTTTAACCCAGGCCTCCTGATCAAAAGGGTACCACTGCACCACAAGAACCCTCTGTGTTACTTTTCATTTTTATCCTTTGCTTTATACCCAGAAGTGCTATCATCTGTACCCGAGTGACTTTTTCACTACCAAAATTGTGATTACTTTTAGGAAACTACTAACTGCCACTCGTGGAGCCAATTAAATTTTTGCAAGCAAAGTAAACCATCAAAAATGAGGGCAGGGGCTAAATCAAAATGGAGTTGGAGGAGGAAAATAAAGCTCTGCATGCTTCGTGCTGCCTATCTCTCTCAAAGTATCAAGAGCATGGATGGACACCACCTGCTCCCTCTTCAAGGAAACCTGGGCATAAACATGACCACAGAAGAGGGCCAGTCGGCATAAATGACCCTTTCCACAGCCCGGTGCCCGGACCTGTTTATAGCCAGCTTAGCCAGGCCCAAGAGCAGACCTATGAGGAGGTCCTCCTTCTGCACCAGATGTCCCCTGCTACTTTTCATGTTTTCCACCTGTAATCACCCGTGTTTCCAATTAATCAATTTCGCTGCAAAGCTCAGCAGGAGTAGTCCAATAATTCCAAACCTATCTGGTGCTTCAATATATGCACCAATTAAGGGTGACACAGACAACTGGTTTGTGATGCAGATTGAAGCCAACAGCGTGGGTTCAATTCCTGCACCGGCTGAGGGATTATGACGGAGGAATCTCCTTTTCAACCTCTCTCCTCGCCCAATGTGTGATGACTTTCAGGTTAAACCACCAGCAGTCATTTTTCCTGTAATGAAAATCCTACCAAACCACAGGCCTGCTCTATGGTGACTCTTACTTTACACCAAGTTCTTTCCGGCCGTACATCTTTTTGTTTGTTTTATCAACTTACCTTCTCAGTTATTTGTAGCCACTAAAACGTCTTGATCATAAAGGGCTTTTACTTGTGATGTCAGTCTGTTCTATAAGCTTCGTTCTTGTCCAACTACAACCTTCAGTTATTCTCCCATCTCAATCTGGACTACTAAGACAAGAACCTTCCCTTCTACATTGAAATCTTGATGGTTCATTTACTTCTATTTAAAGCATTAAATGAAAAATGCCACAGATTTCTAGAAATTACTTTGACTTCTCCCCAGTGTTCTAGCTACTCTCTGAAATGAGATTTCATGGAATCCTACCAATAGCATTTGATTAAATGAGCATCCAACACTTCAAACACCTCATGACTGTAAATGTGTCAGCATTTTTGCTTAGTTACTTTTAAAACAAAGTCATGCTTTTTGTATCTAATAGCTCCTCACTGTGG